TTGACGATAAGTAATGGTAGTGCATTCTCTTGGAGAGGTATGGGTCATTTTGGCAACCTAAATTATTTTATTAGATATTATCATTCTTTTTTGCTTGACCTACTAAGGGCAATGGCCTAGGGATCAATGCACCTTCACTATGCAAGAGGTTGGGTGTTCCGACCAGCCAGCGACATAGGTAGTATCCTCCTTTCCTACTCCTAGTATTTCAAATAAATACAAAATATCTATTTTCTCATCTGAAACCAAGACTGCCATCTGTCAGTGTTAGTTCTGCTCTGAGACTGAGACTACAGTTGGTACTAGTTCTGAAATCGTGTGACATATTTGAAATTCATTCAGGGTTAGAAAATTTGATGTCCTTATTACCTGGCTAGTATCTTCTTTGCATGTATCTGCAATGATCTCTGCATATGTGCTTGTCTTTCTTTTAGGTTTGGATTAACAGGTATGCTTTCTCACTCTAAATGCAGTTGGATGCCTTGATCCACCCATTTTTTGATGAGCTACGTGATCCAAACACTCGCCTGCCAAATGGACGTTTTCTTCCCCACTGTTCAACTTTAAGCCACATGGTACGAAAGCCACCTTAGACTAATTTTCCTTGCATATTCTATCTGAACCTCTTATTTATGCTATATTGTTGTTACCATGCCTCTTTGTTGCCACACCAGAGTTAAAGGGCGTTCCAGCTGAGATGATAGTGAAATTGATTCCAGAACATGCACTGAAGCAGTGCCACTGGCTCTCGATATGATGATGAATGCAGCAAACAAGCAAGTAAAAGTAGGCTCGTTTTGCATTCCTTAATCTGTGCTCATTTGTTGTGGTCTCTTGTTTCTTGTCTCTTATCTTTGTATTAGCTTGTTTGTAAAAGTAGGTTAGGATATGCAACTAAACTTTGGGCAGTCCTCACAATCCCCTCTTTAATCCACGTCTCCATATTAGGAAAGATTGTAATGTTGCATGGATAAGATGAATATCTATCTTAATGATCTGTTTGATATCTGTGAACTTCTAGGGTAGTTTTAAGAGGTTTCAGCAGGTGAAGGCTTCGTAACTCTCCTCCCCCTTCCCCTCCCCGGCCGTTTTTCTTTCTTTTAGGACGGCCCAATTCTCCAGTCTTGTAGGAATGGAAAAATGGGGGAAAACTATGCAGAGAAACCTAAGATCCTAATTCCGATAAGGGGTTTGAAGTATACGCAATCCCAACTATTCACATGTTTGTGGATGGTCTAAATTTATTAGAAAAATTTAAATTTGATCGTTTGATGTGATAGATGTATCTATTTGTATTGAAATTTGCTGAAAATGAAAACAAATGGTAAAATTTTGAAATGGAGAGATCCTAATCCTCATCCAAACTCTGATTCATTCTTCTCTCCTGTTGTTTCCACCGATCAATACTGCACCACCAAGTACAATTAATCTGCGATCTTTCCGGTCCTCCACAACAATATAGTACGGTTCCTAGAGAGAATGTTTCTTTTATTATGAGTATGCAAGTACAGACATGTTGCGACGTTCTTGGAGGACAACATAAGGTTGTTCCCTCAGAGGTACAAAAATTTTAAGTCGAGAGATTCAGATCTTATGAGATTGTAATAACCTTTTAAAGCCTACTTGATGAGCTGGATGAGACTAAATAAGGACAATAGGTTCGATAAATTTTTTGTTATATTATTTTTTTCATGCGATAAATCCTTTAATACAAGGATTTAATTAGGATAAATTTTTAATTTGAGTGGGATAATTATACGGGGAGGTGATAAAATAATTTTATTTAATATTTATTTGTGTGGTATATATTTCTTGTCTGATATTTTTCCTGTCCCTTACACCATCCATATTCTCTGTCCTTCCCACTTGCCCCTCTCCTTTGTACTTCCCACCTGTGTCGATGGCTCCCTTGACATCGTTGGCTACCCCGGCCACCTCTTCACATAGTTTCTTCGGCCAGATTCGAGTTCCTCGCACAATGTTGCGCCGAGCTTGTCCCTCGGTCTCGTCCTTTGACGAGCTAATCTGGATTCGAGTATAGTGCTGCACTTGACCTTTGACGAATAGATCTCATTGGTGGCTACGCCTGGTCTCAACCTCCTTGTCCGATGCCCCGCCATTGCAGTGGATTCCAGTTCTTAGCACAGTCTCATTGACCTTGTTATTGCTGCATTAATCGAATTCGAGTGTAGTGTTATGTCGGCTGTTATCTGTCTTCTTCTTCTGCTTCTTCTTCTTTCTTTTTTTTTTCCAGCTGAAACAAAAATAATGGTATATTGCTACCAGAAGAAAGGGTATTTCAATAAAATCAAATCTATCTTGTTATTTCCTATTTAATGGATTAAAAGTTGCCAAAAATGGGATAAAAATTGGGAACATTGTGTGGATAGAAGGATGCCCTGTCCAACCATATCCAATTCACACTACCCAACAGCCACTAAAAAACTCCTGATCTTTTAATGTAAGCCCTCTTTTAGTGCTTACCACATTGTGTGATTTTATGAATTTTTATTTTGAAAACCTTGAGTTTTTCATATATACATTTAAGGTGACATTTGCTTTGGGAGATAAGGTAGAATAGGAAAAAATTATCTTACCTTATTTCTATTTATCATGCGTTCGCTACATGTGTGTAACAGTATGAAATAAACATTCAGATAGCACTCTTATCAGCCTATGCATGATAATTTTATCCTAGGATGGCATGGGAGATAAACTTTCTCACATTTCAACAATAAATTTTTTTTTGGACAATCTTGCCACTGCGAACCACCGCTGGCCTCTCCTCACCACCATTGCTAGATTCCTAGGATCTCCACGCTGGCGCCGGAGCAGGTGCTAGAACTCTAGGCGCTTGCGTAAGCGGGTGCCAAATCTCCAAGCACCTACTCACGTAGACATTGAATTTGCAAGCGCCTGCTCACGTGGGCACCGGATCTGTAGGTACCTGTGTGAGCAAGCGCTAGAACTTCAAGTGCTTGCATGAGTGGGCACCAGATCTATGCAAGAGCTCGCTCATGCCAACGCCAAAGCCTTGTAGTTGCCAGAGAGGAGAAGGAAGGTGAAGACTGAGATTATGGGCAATTGATAATTTGGTTCATTATCCGGTTTGTTATCTAAATTACTATTAAATTTGATCAAAATTATGATAAAAACATGATCACTGTAAGGATAGAATCTTCCTTGCCCCATCTTTACAAGGCATCCGAATGCCCCTAGGTACACAAATTCAAATGTTCACTTCCATATAGTCCTTATAAGAGAACTAAATTTCACACTTCCGTGATTTTTCTCTTAAATTGACTATAAAAAAAAGGCTTAGATCCCACACAAGTCCTAAATTATCTGGTAGCTTTCCTCCAATAATGATGAAGTATGACAGCTGAGTCATCCATTTAACAATATTAGCTCTCTTCTTCTAGGCGGAAACTTCACTCATAAATACGTGAAATTTGGGCATTTGACTCTTGCCATGTATGATGTACCTTCTGCATTATAAACAGAGTCTAGAGGAACACACAGGCTAACTTCTGAAGGCTTATTCGAGGGGAGGGGTGTTAGTGCTTCGATTTTGTTGGATTTGATATTTAAATTTAAATTAAATTATACTTTATGATTTATAATTTTAGAAATTGAACAAAATATGATTCACATTTTTGTTTGATTTTAAATTATGATTTGTGATTTATATAAATAAAATAGATTAAATTTTTATTTTTATAAGAATTTTGACAAATTTTTTTTCTAATTTTTTTAACTTATTTAGTTTAACAAATTCATCATAGTAGTTATACATTATATAAGAAACATATTTATATAGTGTAACAAAGTTTAAATTACACTAATAGAAATCATTCTCTAATAAAGAATATATATATATATATATATATATACATGGAGTTTGGTTTAATTTTGTTTATATGGATTAGTTAGATATCATATATCAAATTAAAATGTATAAAAATAATTTTCTTACAAATCAAACAAAATGGTAATTTAATCAACTCATAAAGTTTGATTAGGTTTCTTGAACACCAGTATTCAAAGCCATCCAAATTGAAACATGCTGAAGCTAACCTTTGGTGGCCTATTTTTATTACGTTTCTAAGTATATATTTTGTTCATTAAATTAAAAAGTTCAAAATCTTAGCATATTAGTCGGGCCCTCAGAACCCCGCCCGACTCAAGCTCGAAAATTGGCACTTTGCCCGGAGACCCGCCCCGCTGGCCCAGAAAACTCAGTAATTAAGTTACTTGGATACATCAATTGTCTTCACTGTCTACGTGATGTTCTGAGAAAAGAAATTAAGCTATCAGCTTAGTACGACAACGTTTACTGGCCAAGAACATTAGACATTTTCTGGTTCCATTCCTCCATATTGATTAACGTTAATACAAGGGATGAAGAAGTAATAAGAAAGAAAGCTGCTTTTGAAGAAGCTGGCATTTAGATTAAAGACTACATGTTATAAAAGACTGGGCAGTTGTACTAGTTACAACCAAGGCATAAAAGGATGAAATAAGGCTAGATATTACTGAATTGCCATCACTGGCTTAACTTTTGGTAAGAAAGTTGCCGTTGGGGATTCCCGAAAACTGCATTTCCAAGTCACCTGTCTTCTCCTGTTTCTCTTGACCACCTTCTGCATCCTTGACATTATCAAAACTCGGACTCATCTCTCTCTTTTTGCCCCATAGAACTGCGTAAAGCCCAGCAATGATCAACATAGACCCTACAACACTGGCACATTAAGCCACATATTCGTAAGACCCAGTTCAGAAATCAAGTGAATTAAACAAAAAAGAAAAAGAAAAAGAAAGAAATTAAAAGGGAAAAAGGTGAATGAAGAACACACGTTCCGACGAATAAACGCTCTTGAAGAACTGCCCAACTGAGAACAGCCACGATGACAAGCAGGAGAGGGCTGAACACCGAGACGTAGAGGGGACCTTTCTCTGGATGCACCATGACATGACGGCAAATGACAGCGCATTGCACACAGTTCCCTGAAGTTATTCATTTACGTAACAGTAAAATCAGAGGAGATAATTTCTATTCTTTTTTTGTTTTTCAAAGGAAGAAGAAAACTTTTGATCAATTGGGAATATTTCATGCAGCTTACCGCATAAATACTAGAAGTGGCCCTGATAGCGGGGCTGAGAGACCATGCAGAGGCTTTAGGTTCCACGCAGACGCCAATGATGGCACACTGAAAGCTGGCCATTAGACACACATCAAAGCCGTGGTTGTGTAAGGAGCTGAATACTTCTCGCTTATTCTCGCCTGAAACCAATCATTTTCGCACACATTCAAAACCTTTCACCAAGCTAACCATAGCATTAACTCCAGAACCAAGCTGTGAACAAGTCGGGTTGGACCTGACCCATCATGATCAGAATCCTTGGACTCGGACCCATCATGTAGATCCAAAAGAAATGGATCTACAAGATTAAATTTTTTTTTAGTGGACTAGTCTGAATCAGGCCGAAAGCCAAATAAATGAGTCAGTCCAGACCCCTTTTACAAAAATAACCAGTCTGGATAGAATTAGTATATTTGTCAATTGGGTGTAGTCCCAACCCGGCCTGTTTACATGTTTAGACACTTCTTAAGTACTTGAACTGCCAATTGAATTTACAGAGACGATATGAATACCAACAAAAAGTAACCAGATCTAAAAATGGGTGGTAAGGAAATTTGGTAAATTTTGATGGTGACATGTAACGTTAAGCCATTAAACTTAGTGGGTGCTTACTTGGATGACAAACCAAACTGCCCAGGCGACGGTGCTAGATATGACAAGAAATGGACCCAAGATGAAGTTGCTGTGGGTGGTGATAGGGTTGTCTGAACCCATCTTATCTGCATATTTCCAGTGAAGGCTTGAGCCGCCCATAACCTCATGCCGTGGTAAAACGAAAGCAACATCGCTCCACCGACACACACAACTGTTCCCAAAATCTTTGCATGTGTGGCCACACTCCTTATTCCCACAGTCTCAAACCTAACAAAACACCTCTCAAATGTAAGAAAATATCATAAATTACCCACCAATTATTTTTTGAAATAGGCACCACTCGCATCTTTGTTCGAATCAAATCCTAAAACTAAAGTGAACCCATTAAAAATTCCCTTTTTTGAATTTTTTTTTGCGTAAAATATCAAATTTGTTCGGTTTGAAAATTTTCCAGTTTGGTTTCCATTTGGGTTTTTATAAAGCAATTTAGATAGAGTCAAATCACCAATTTTATACATTTAATTGTATAAAACCAAACCGAACTAAATTTTTTTGGATTTGGTTTGAAATTCCCGTTTGGTCATGTTCACCCTAAATATAGTAATATGTAATGAAAATACTAACACTCGAACGTGTATGTGTGTAAGTCGTATGAATAATTACTAAGAAATAAAGAATGTCATAATGTGTGACGCTATACCCGAAGGGGACGGCGATAATGAAAGTGACGGCAGGGAGCAAATTTGTAAGCGCACACGCAACGGTCGGGGTGGAATTGTGCAGCCCAACAAATAAAGTGCCTGGTTCATGGTGGCCCTGTGTTTTTCCACACCAATTAAGCCCATTATTAAAGAAATTTTAAAAATAGATATTAAAATAAATAGAAATCTGTGAATTAAAATAAATAGATATATGTTGTTGCGCGTAAAACACTCACCAAATATGGAGGATAAGAAGATAAGGAAGAGAATGGGCATTGTCATCTTAGGCCTTGTTTTTCTGCATCAATTGGGTAAACATTAGTCATAATTGGATTTCGTTTTCTGTTATCTATTTTGGTTTTTTGTTTTCTGAAAGTTCTTCTAAAACAGTTATGAATCCCAATCTGTTTCCGAAAATAGAAAGCTGTTAAAGCCGTATATATCCCGAGAGACCTGAGCAAGAGCCTTCCTATTTATATTTTCCTAGAAGGCTTCTTAGTTACGACTAATACTGATAAGCTTAAGAGAAAAGTTCACGCACTGCCAGATATATAATGCATTAAGCCATCAAAAAGCCAGAAAAGTGGAAACAAAAATAAGTGACGTAAATCAATAATGCGAAAAGTACGCACCACCTAGCACGTGACAAGAGCGTCACATATACATAACAGGTGGCCTGGCGGAGTTTTTTGTTTTCTTATTCTTTTCTTTCCTGATCCAGGCCATGCAGAGTTGGTAGATTAAATTTTCTAATACTAACGGACGACCTCGTGCTAAAAATAATCAAAATTAATTAGTAATTTATTTTCCATATTTGCATGTCTTCCTTCTGTGGGAAAAGAAAGACCCACCAAGAAATGTTTTCTTCTTCTTGCTCATCACCACAAGTAAAAGAAAGATTCAGTTAGTATTACATAAATAAATAAATATTGAAGTGCAAGAAAATAAATTTCTAGAAGCTTTTTTTTGGGTTATGCAGAAAATATTATAATAATAATTATTAAAAATAAAGAAATTTAAATCTAAATAGTAGAATTCTACCATCTGAGGTGGTCGGGGTGTTGTCTAAATTAGCTTAAAGTACAAAATAAGCCCGTTACAGTAATCAGAAAGGTCAAAAACATACATGCATGATACATGCAATTCTATTTGATGTAATCTACTCTTTTTTTATTGTTTTTTGCGCTTTAGAAATAGAAAGCAAATAAACCAAAACGGTCAAAAAACCGACATGCATGCATTTCTATTTTCAGTGTTTGTGTTTTTTTTTTTCATTTTTGTTTCGTATGTTTCGAAATAGAGAAAATACTAAATACCTTAAAACTCTATTAGCTTTACGTTGCTTTCACTTTCAACTTTCAACGGGACATAAATTTAAACACTGGAACCAGTATTTCTTAAAAGGGTCTGTTTTCAAAAATATATTCCGCAGACAACTTTCGAAAACATATTTATTAATGGTTTTAAAATAATATATTTGATAGTCTAACTTTTTGGATCATACATACAATATTTTAGCAATATTTCTACTTTTAAATTTTTTTAAACGGGAAAAATTGAAGTAGGTTTAAATAAAAAGCCATGCCATGACAGCAAGCAGATACTTTCTTTACAAATGTGGGAAATCAACTTGATATATACCTCTCCAGGAAATAGGCGAAGGGAGCTATAGCCACAGTGGCGAAGATTTGCCGGTAAACCACGTGGACAAGAGGGTTCATGCCGGAATCCATGGCCAGAGTCGAGAAAATATTCATCCCGGCATAACCAACTGAACCAGAACCATGGCCACGAAAGGCAAAATCTCACCCCCCATTCTTTTTCCCTTTCTTCGCCCACAATATTTCCTGGAAAAGTAAGAGAGAAAGAGGCAGGCGAGTGATGGAGATAGACAGAGACACATATATATAGAGAACGAAAGAGAACGGAAAAGAGAGAGAAACGACCAAAAAAGAAAAAAAAAAAAAGAAAAGGCCTGAAAATTATTTTGTAACTCCTCAATAGGCTCATGCATGGAGTAAAGCCTTGGCCATGAAAAGCGCTTGCTTTCAGTTAGTGAGTTATAGTGTTTGCCAGCTTATTGTGGCCGTATTCGAATGCTTGTCGCAGCAAAATTGAACTCCGCCACGTCAGCATGGTGATGGGTGGGGCCCCCAGACATTTAGTGCTTAATTTGCATGCGGTTGTTGCAGCGTAGCAGAGATTCGAAATTATAACCGTTTTAAATGAACATTTACCATGTCGATGAGCTCGATGTAATTAGGTTGTTCGATTCCGGTTCATGAGCCAAACAGGCGCCAACCATACAGAGTTTTCAACTTTGCTGTCATGCACAAGTGATTGGAAACCGAGAAAGCGTAAGAAAATGGTAGCACGGAAAATTTAATGCTCTCCGGGGAAATTAGAAAGCGCAGAAAATTCTGATAAATTAATATTTTAGTTAGTGTTGTGCATGATGTACTCTTATGTGAACGTTGTATAAGATATTAACAAAAGAAAAAGTTTTGTTCTGAGTCCCCATAGTTTTATCCAAATTTCATGCAGGTCCCATAGTTAATTGTTCCATCGATTAGCTCTTTCTTTGATAGAAACCACAATCATTGGTGACTGTCACTGTCCCCATGTGTGCAGATCTAAGATTATTGTTATTCGCTGCATTCAAATGGGTCTAGGGTTGAATCATTTTTTTTAAATCTGTTCTTTCAATGCAGAGGGTGAAAAAAAAGTCATGATTTCTTTCTAAAAGCCAACCTCTGGGGACCAAATATTTTATACATTTAAATCTTGATATTCAATGTGTGAATATTAAAAACAAATACCAAAATGAAATTTATTTGAATATACGGGGACCAAAATTGCAATTAATGTGCCCATAAGAAATACCATATAATGTTATACAATGATAGCAATGTTAAAAAAACATGTATTGATAGTCAAACTGGTAACACTATCACGCAATGGTTTAACTATCAATCAAATTATTTAATAATAAATAAAATTAATAAATATATTATTTTAAATTAGTATATTTGTTTTAACAAATTAGTTAATTTTATCTATTCTTAATTAGTTTTGATTAATTACACTCTAATTCTCTAATTCTAATTAAGTAATCTCATGTAGACTTTTTGAGGTTAGATTGAAGTTGAACACCACTCGATCAACAAGCCCAATCTAGATTTTATTTAAAACATTAAATAATAATACGAGATGACGCTTGGTACTATAAATTATTTTTTATAGATATCATAAAACATATATAAAATAAAAAAATTTATCATAATAATAATTATTTATATACAATACCAATTTATAAAAAAATTAAAATATAATTACGAGTTGACAACTCCATGAACTTGCATGCAAGAGCATGCCATTTAATAATTCACTCTCAGATGATTCATGTTCGTAGTTAACAAAATATACGGCAATGATGATGGGTGTATGTCACTTCTTTCCCAATCTCAATCCAGCAGAAGACACCGCCGAAACCGATCAATTCTCTTTTGGATGTCCACGTGTACTTCATATTCTTTCACTTTACATAACCAAATACTTTTGTTTTCTTATAAAAAGAAATTGAAAGTTGCTTTTCCAAATTTTCTTTTCCATTTTTCTTAATAACCCTTCTTTAGATTTATATGTAGTATAACTTTTGGAGCATTCAAACTTAATAAAATCATTAACATTACTTCATAATCAAAGAGAAGATTAGGCATTAATTGACTAACTTAATGCTTTTAGAAACGTTGTAAAACTTAATACCTTGTTTTCTACTTCACGTCAAAGCCTATTAATAGGAGTTGGTGGGTCCTTTATTGCCAAAAATTTTGTTTGGTTCTACGTTTATATGCGTGTCCCTTTTGGCTATATCTATATATGTTGAGACTGTAATTCTAAGCTCGCCCATGCTTGGAACTGATTTATTCTTCATTATTTCAATTTGCCGACTTAACTAATGTTAAATATCTATTGAATTTAATCTAATTTACATTATTATAAATATAATTATAAAAACTCTTGGCCTTAAATCAATAAAAGTTTCCTAATTTAATGTGTACATTGTACATTGTGTGCATTTCACATGGGAGTCATGAAGCCGAGTCTTGCCATGAAGTTTGTTATGGGAATATATGGACAAATTTGATTATATTTAATTTTTAAATATATAAAGAATAGATTTTTAATTAATTCAGATAAATATACATATCTCAAATCAGAATTTTTGCAATTTTTCACTAATATTTAGTTTGAAAATATTTACAAGTAAAATAATCTTTGTGTGTCATAAGCATTTCAATTTCGATTATACATACATATATAAACATATTTTTACTCTCACATATTCTAATGTATTAATCAATTTATATATTTTATGTATTTATTTATTTGAATGGGTATCAAATTAACTCACATGAGCAATCTAATATATATATACATATACATATATATATATATATATATATATTAAACTGTAAAACTACCAGTTTACAGTTGGCTCGACCAATTAATGAACTAATCGTAATCCAATTCCAATAATTGATGATGAGAAGTGGAAAGGAAGTACTGAGTGAGGAAATTTAGGTACGACCTACTAAACCCATTGGTTTTTTTTTTTTTTTTTTGGGGGGGGGGTGTTGTGGGGAAGAGGGTGTAATTAGAACTTCAAAGGTCTAGGAGGATG